CCCTGTATTATAGATACTGTGTTACTAAGTGTGTTATTACTTTCATTAACACTATAAACCAGCTACATGTAAGTTTTCAACTTTTTCAGTTCTACATTTGATGTTTAAACATTCAATCGATTTTCTTTCTTTGATTAATTTAATATTTTATCGCCAGGAGGACAACAGAAGGAAACCCCATTAAATTTGGGAAATTGAAGCCCCATATTACGAAACACACACACACACGTATGTACGTAAACAATAGGCCAACCGTATGATGAGACGTTTCAGCCGAAAACTAAGAATAAGTAAATAAATGTTTTTTTTTCTAAGAAAAGGTACAATGGATGTGAAGTTGAAATCTTTCTACATCATACGATGAGCGAGTTTTATTAGTAATGACATCGTTATATTTAAATTTTACATGTAAAGCACAAAGGTCGTAAGAAAGTGATTTCTTCAAAACACTAAAATCTTACGAAAACTTAGAAGAATATAACAAAAAATACATTTAGGTCGAAGTTATCAGATTATGAGTATAATTTACGTGAACAAACTAGCAATACTTAAAAGGTGCACTAGAAGAGATTCGGTCCACTAAAGCCTGCTTGTTTGTTTTTGTCGTAAAGTACAAAGCTACACAACGGGCAATCTATGATCTGCCCAGCGTAGGCATCGAAACCCAATGTTTAGCGTTATAAGCCAACTGACTTACCACTGAGCCACTGGGGGGCATTATATGGGAGTGGGTTTGTTTGTTTGTTTGTAATTAAGCACAAAGCTACACAATGGGCTATCTATGATCTGCCCAGCGTAGGTATCGAAACCCAATGTTTAGCGTTGTAAGCCAACTGACTTACCACTGAGCCACCGGGGGGCACTAGATGGGTGTAGGTTTGTTTGTTTGTAATTAAGCACAACACAAGGCTACACAATGGGCTATTTATGATCTGCAACTGACATACCACTGAGCCACCGGGGGGGGGGCCTAGATGGAAGTGGGTTTGTTTGTTTGTAATTAAACACAAGACTACACAATGGACTATTTATGATCTGCCCATCGTAGGTATCTAAACCCAATGTTTAGCGTTATAAGCCAACTGACATACCACCGAGCCACCGGGGGGGGCGTAGATTGGAGTGGGTCCAATAAAACCTTCTGAGGGTATTTTTGCACAATTGGACATGGAGGATAACGTTTGACGACAACTCAGTTCGGGATGTTAAGAACTATGATTACTGCTATCTCTTTACCTTGTATGAGCTATATCTTCAAAGTCCTCACGATTTACCCGTCTGTAGGGAGCATATAAAAATGTACAATCAGTCTGTTTGGTGTTTGTTGCTAGGTGATACCTAAACCTGCAGACTAGCGACAAATATGTTAACCATTTACTATCACTTCTTGTACAACAACAAAAATTTCTTAATAACAACTTAATATAAAATAACGCTCTTTAACGTGTTAATTTTAACAAGATATCTTTGTGTTAAAACTTCGATAAGTTAAAAAAAAATCCAAACCCTTCCACAACAACGTGCCATCACAACGAGCCAATATGTCAGCATCATATAACTTTCTAGTTGGAGCTGTCAGCCGAAGGTCTTTCCTCCTACGCAATAATCACTCAGACATATCAATATTTCTACAGCAATCTACAAGCGAATGCAACATCAAAACTCTTCGCCATAGTAAAAACATTTTTTTTTGTATGAGTTTCTTAAGACATTTCAATTAAAGACTAAAGTTGGCCATAAAGCAGCAATAAATAAGTGCAAAACCCCTAGTCTTTAGCACACCATGCTTTTTGTTCTTAATCGCTTAATTCCTCATCTTGGTATTAGAATCAATTTATTATCTTTTAAAATAGGCCCGGCATGGCCAGGTCGTTAGAGCACTCGACTCGCAATCTGAGGGTCGCGGGTTCGAATCCCTATCACACCAAACATGCTCGCCCTTTCAGCCGTGGAGGCGTTATAATGTGACGGTCAATCCCACTATTCGTTGGTAAAAGAGTAGCCCAAGAGTTGGCGGTGGGTGGTGATGACTAGCTGCCTTCCCTCTAGTCTTACACTGCTAAATTAGGGACGGCTAGCGCAGATAGCCCTCGTGTAGCTTTGCGCGAAATTCAAAAACAAACAAACATCTTTTAAAATATATATAAAATTACAGTAATCAAACAATTCTTACAGTCCTCAATAAACACCTTACATGAAAATTTATAACGAAATCATAATATAAAGGTTTAGTTTGTTTTAGAAAACACAGCCCCGTTGGGTTATCTGGTGTGTTTACTGAAAGAAATCGACCCACAAATTTTGGTGTTCTAAGTTCGTAAACTTACCGTTGTTTCACAGAGGGAACATCATACAAAACATGGAAAAATATTGGAAAAACGAAACCTCGCTTTTTTTGTCCCCTTTATTGAATCAAACTGTTTTTCTTTATATATTTATCTATCTCAAAACTGTACTTACTATCTTGTGGTTTAGATGAGTTAGATCTCGCTCTGTAACTATCTACTTACTGTCTTATGGTTTAGATGAGTTAGATCTCGCTCTGTAACTATATACTTACTGTCATTGTCGTTTAGATGAGTTAGA